TGACTATCTTGTCTCTTTAATTACACAAAAGTCCTGAAGTAGATGGGGTGATTTTTTTTCTTGTGCGTGTGGAGTAGTATGTTCCACATCCTTCAGCCAGGAACAGAACTCTTCCACATTGGGGAAATGCACTTCAGACCCTCAACTCAGCATTCTTTTTCCTAAAGCAAACTGTCCATCAACCTGTCTGTCTTCCAGCAGAAGGCTCTGTGGAGGAGCCCATGTCAGCCCTATCAGTGGTCTCTAGATTAGTGGTTCTCAACAAAGGGAGACTTTTTTGCACGCGCGCGCACACACACACACACACACACATACACACACCATCACCACCACCACCACCAGCACTAGCAGCACCACGAAGGAGCATGTAGCAATGTCTGGAAACACTTTGGGTTGTCCCAACTGGGAGTTTGGGCTGGGATTGACAGTGCCACTGGCATCAGTGGGTAGAGGCCAGAGATGCTGAGCTATATCCTACAATGCACAGACAGCCCCCACAACAAATTACCTGACCCAAAATATGAATGGCGCCAAGGCTGTGAAACCCTGCTACAGACCCTACCTATGCCTTTGCAATTTCTTCATGGTCTTTATATCATACAAAGAGCTTCTTTATTAATGAATACAATAAAGTAATACTCCTTTGCATTAAAACTGAATACAACTAATTTTTGCAGCTAATGGACCCACCAGGGCCGCACAGAATAAAGGCCTGAGCTGAAATTCATTACATGAAATGACGCTAAGATCACGTGAGAAATGCGTTCTTTCACTTAAGATTACCCAGAGGCTACTATGTGTCAGACCCCACGTTAGGATCTGGGGATGGTGTCAACGGGCAGGGACACTCTGCAGGACCTCCTTCCCCCCCCCGGAGGACACACGTCCCCTTACCGAGTCACCAGATGGTCCATAGGACATTTCCAGGCCCCCCCACAACAGCACATCTTCTTTCAGGACCTTAGGGGAGAGGCTCAAGACAGAAAAAAAGAGAGGCCTGGGAAGATGTGTCACTCAACTTGGAGGAGAGGCCCTGGTGCAGGCCCCGCTTCCCTGCTCAGACTTTATTTCTCAAATCCTAAGGAATAGTAACCACAGTTAAAATGACAGTTGACACAAATCTCAGCATTGGACATGACAGTTTCATTACAGGCTTTCCAAAGCCACTTTAGAACAGCCACTACCTAAAACGCACCCAGGACAGGAGAGCCAAGGCCCAGCTTCCAGGAGGGACTGAATCTCACAGCCTTTCCCACTGAAAGACAATAAAGCTGGAGGCTCCAATACTTACAACAAAATGAGGCACCCGATGGTCACGCAAGTCAGAAATGGAACCCAGCTCTACCGGATGAGAACCTTCAACCTTGACACCAGGCTGCTATCACTCATTCTGGTCACCAGTACATGGTGGACCTCAGAAAGTTCTGGACACTTCCTGGGCCTCAGTTTCAGAAGCTATAGAATGGGTCATTATATCTCCTATGGCAGCCTTGGGGGACTCTTCCAGGTCAAGTGGGAGAGCTGAGTGACGTCAGTGTCAATGCATAAAGATGTCAATTAGGTGCTTCCCCACCACTGGCTGTGTAGCTGTATGCAGGAGAAGCGTTAATGAGAGGTGGCTCTCAAGAACAGAACCACACCCTGTTTCTTTCCCATCATCACCGGCAGGCGAACCTGGGTTGCGATGCCAGCTCCACAACCTTAGGCAAGCCCTGAAAATTCTCCATGATTCCTTCCACTGCCACCCAATGGGAGGACACTTCCCAAGTGGCAGAACTGACAGGTGAAAGGATCCAGCCAGGGCAAGCATGCCCTTGTGAGTCTCAAGAGCCACATGCGTGGAGTTACAGAGCTGGGGACGCTGGATCACACTCCGAGGGCCCAACATCTGTGGGCCTGGGGACCTGAGACTCAGGGTGCCCTTGGGAAGGGAGTCATCCCCTGACAAAAATGGGCCCGCAGGGGTGCTGCCCTGCAGGCCTGGTTCAAAGAGCCACGAGCCCCCCCTGAGGAAGTCAAAGGGGATGGTTTCTGGAAGGAGAGGCATGGGCCACCTCCCAAAAGGGAAAAGTCCCACCCTACACCCATGGCCCAGAGCTGAGCTGGTGCTGGACAAGGGGCTGTGCAAGAAAGGTCCCCTCAGGCCAGATAGACACTGGCACTGCAGCACGAAACTGAGCATGGCCGGGAAAGACATGCATTGCCCTAAATCAGAATACAATCTGAGAAAGACATGATGATCATAGTTTTCACGTAAACACCATCATCCCAAAATAATCCTAACTGCTTTTTTTTTTTTTTTTTGAGACTGAGTCTCGCTCTGTCGCCAGGCTGGACTGCAGTGGCGGGATCTTGGCTCACTGCAACCTCTGCCTCCCCAGTTCAAGTGATTCTCCTGCCTCAGCCTCCCAAGTAACTGAGACTACAGGCACTCACCACCACGCCCAGCTAATTTTTGTATGTTTTAGTAGAGAATAATATCTGAATTTCCTGGAACCTGTGAATATATTGCCTCCCATGGCAAGGGAACTTCCCCGATGTGATGAAAGCTAAGGACCCTGAAGTAGGGATTATTCTGGATTATCAGGGCAGCCCCTGTCCAATAATCACATGAATTCTTAAAATGAGAGAATCTTTTCCTACTGGAATCACAGAGGTGAAAAGAAAGAGGAAGAAGAGATTTAGGTCCTGGAGGAACTAGACCCACCATTCGGTACTTAAACATGGTGAGAGGAGGCCACGAGCGCAGAGGGGAGGCTTCCAGAAGCACAGCGCAGCCGGACGGCCCGCAAGAAAACAGGATCTCAGTTCGACAACCTCAAGGAAATGAATTCTGCCAACACCCAGAATGAGCAAGGAAACAGACCCTCCCCTGGAGTCTCCAGAAGGAAAGGCAGCCTGCAGGCTCCTTGGCTTAGCGCAGTGAGATCCATGTCTGATCTTTGCCCCAGAGAACTGGACATGAGCCGGGGAGAGTGGCTCATACGAGTGATCCCAGCACTTTAGGAAGCCAAGGTGGGAGGGTTGCTTGAGTCCAGGAGTTTCAATCCAGCCCGGGCAAGACAGTGAGACCTCGTCTCTACAAAAAATACAAAAAATTAGCCAGGCATGGTAACTCATGCCTGTAGTCCCAGCTACTGTGGAGGCTGAAGTGGGAGGATCACTTGAGCCCTGGAGGTCAAGGCTGCAGTGGGCCATGTTCACACCATTGTACTCCAGCCTGGGTGACAGAGCAAGACTCGTCTCAAACCGATCCCCCCTCAAAAAAACTGTACATTAATATATTATGTTGTGTAAATGGTAAATTTGTGTTAGTTTTTACGGTAATCACAGAAATTAATAAACACGATAAAAAGCATTTGTAGCCATGCTTGGGGAGTGGGGGCACACATGAGAATATGAATCATGGTTCCCAAGGTTACTCAGCCAGCAAGGGGTGGAGCTGGGGCTGACCAGCTCCTGGGACCTCCAGCTCTGTTGCTCTGCTCTGCAGTCTCATTGAAGAACAATTCCAGATCGAGTTCCCAGATGGTAATACAAAGGCTCTATTTTGGGCTGACTCTGCCAAAAGTTGGACTTCTTAAAAAAAAAAAAAAAATTCATGATTTGTTTTTTGCTTTTTTTTTTTTTGAGATGGAGTCTCACTCTGTCACCAGGCTGGAGTACAGTGGCGCCATCTCGGCTCACCGCAACCTCTGCCTCCCAGGTTCAAGCAAGTCTCCTGCCACAGCCTCCTGAGTAGCTGGAACTACAGTCTCGCACCACTATGCCCAGCTAATTTTTGTATTTTTCAGTAAAGGCAGGGTTTCACCCTGTTGGCAGGGATGGTCTCAGTCTCTTAACCTCGTGATCTGCCCGCCTGGACCTCCCAAAGTGCTAGGATTACAAGCGTGAGCCACTGCACCCAGCACAGTTATTATTTTAAATAATTAAAAATACCAGAAGATCTTGCCCTGCCCAGGTCTGGATGATGGCAATAAAAACATGGCTAGACATATACACCATGGAATACTATGCAGCCATAAAAAAGGATGAGTTCATATCCTTTGCAGGGACACGGATGAAGCTGGAAACCATCATTTTCAGCAAAGTAACACAAGAACAGAAAACCGAACGCTGCATGTACTTACTCATCAATGGGAATTGAACAATGAGAACACATGGACACAGGGAGGGGAACATCATCACACCGGGGCCTGCTGGGGGTGGGGGGCTAAGGGGAAGGATAGCAGAGAGTGGGGGGATTGGGGAGGGATAACATTAGGAGAAATATCTAATGTAGATGACGGGGACATGGATGCAGCAAACCACCATGGCACGTGTATACTAATACAACAATCCTGCACATTCTGTACATTTATCCCAGAACTTAAAGTATTAAAAAATAAAGAAAAAATAACAAACAACAACAACAAAAAAAAAAACAGATAAAATTAAAAAAACAACAAAAAAAACGTGGCTAGAGATGAACTAACATAGAGGTGGCAGGGGAGCAGGGAGATGGGTCTGGAGACACCAGGCCTGGTATTCAGCAGGAGCTGACTCACCTGCAGTGCTTTTCTGAAAGACAGAAGTGCTCCCATAGCAGCGAGTAAACAGATGCCTCCCCATGAGGGCAACTGTTGCCCCCATGTCTGGGTATGTTCCCTGGGGGAACATTCCCCCATCCGCCTCCACAAAATACAGAGTTCAGGCCTGACGCAGAGTCCCTGACCCTAGCATCAGGTATCCCAATGGCTCAGACTTGAATATTTGACTATCACACCCAAGAGATCAGAAAGTTAAGGAACAGCGGGCCCAGTCGGCAGGTGCGTTTGGACTTACCTAGAAGAAAGGGAAACCTCTACTTTCATCAGGCTGCTAAAGATAGGGAAAGTATGTGGAAAATGTATAGACCCTTAGGTCTGGTCTTAGACCTGGATTCATGTGATTGGATTGCTGATTGGACGGTGATTTCTTCATCTTCTCTCTTAGCACATGACCTCGGGTAAGCCACTCACCTCTCCAAATCTCAGTGTCCCAGAGGTAAATTGGGAACACCAGGGGAGCCAGGTGCTGTGCAGCTCAAAGGAGAGATGATTCAGCCTCCATTTCAGGTGCCATCATGATGACTGCATGTGCCAAGGACACCCGGGCACCTTGGGAGAAGTCCCAGGGAGTGTGGTCAGCTGTAGAAGCAAAAGGTACGAGCATCAGCGCCCTAGGAGTCAAAGGCAGGCCTTACAGAGCACAACACTGCCAGGGACTCGAGGCTTTGAGAGACGCCGCACCCAGCTCCCATGCTGCCTAACGTGGCTTTTCTCCAGCACCTCCACGGGCCGGGCCACACCCACTCCACTTCTGCTCCATCTGCGGTCCCAGGCCCCCATCCATGAAGACTGTGTGCTCTGCCCATCCCGTTATCAGGGTGCAGGGCCACGGTGCTGGTTGAGAAAGGGCCGCAGCCCCACCTTTGTACATGGAGCCCTTAATAAATGTTGGTAAAGGAAGGTGAGAATAGGGGAGAAGAGTCACTGGGTTGCCAAGACAGACCCCAGCTCTTTCTTCCTCCATAACCACCAAGCCTTGGTTTAGAGAAAGCTGAAGCAAGAAGACACCCCCTGGTCCAACCCCCATAGTCCAATTTAACTTCCCAAATAGAGAAAGTACACACCACAACAGGGAAGGGCCTTCTGTGACATCACCCAGAAGTCCTAAATTGCTGATCCCGCTCAGCCTCAGCTTCCTCATCTATGAAATGGGCATGATGCCTACCTGCGTACCTCACCAGGGGAAGGACTGGTCAAAGGAGACGCTCAATAAAACTCCATGTGAGCATCTTTCTCCCACATGATGGCCGCACCATCGAATGAGACCCACGCACCTGCCGCTCAGAGACCCTGGGACAGAGGAACAAAAGGGCAATTAACTAAGATTTTGGACATGAGTAAAAACAGACCAGAATTTTCGTTCATTTTCAGAGACACTTCAATCTTTCTCTTCTGTGTCCCATGGTGTTGCAGCTTGGAAAACAAATGGCATTTCTTTATGAGAATGACATTTTCTTTAAACGTCATAAGTAAAAGTCCCAAAGGGATCTTACGTTTGAGTTCCTATGCAATCTGTATTGCCAGAAGCTTTCAAATGTATATATTTCTGAAGCCACAGGATGCAGCCCCAGGCCTCGGGTTCCTATCAGCAGCCCCTCAAGGCTCTGGGAGCAGCTCCTCTTTTCGACTGGAGCCGCCGCCCTTGAGGAACATCCTATGGACACAGCTGTCTGAGATGAGTAAGCCTCATCTCTGGCCAAAAGAAAACACAGTGTGATTTGGGGTCTCTCTGCTTTAGGATGGGGCTTCCTTGGAGGACTGAAGCCACGTGGATGGCACTTTTCTCTAGAAAGCGCTGAGACTGTCAATTTCACTCACTTTCTTTTTTTTTTTTTTTTTTTTTTTTGGAGACAGAGTTTCGCTCTTGTTACCCAGGCTGGAGTGCAATGGCACGATCTCGGCTCACCGCAACCTCCGCCTCCTGGGTTCAGGCAATTCTCCTGCCTCAGCCTCCCGAGTAGCTGGGATTACAGGCACGTGCCACCATGCCCAGCTAATTTTTTGTATTTTTAGTAGAGACGGGGTTTCACTATGTTGACCGGGATGGTCTCGATCTCTCGACCTCGTGATCCACCCGCCTCGGCCTCCCAAAGTGCTGGGATTACAGGCTTGAGCCACCGCGCCCGGCTTTCACTCACTTTCAATCAGGGCTTGTTGCCTCTTCATGGCCTCCACTGGCAAAAGCAGGGCTGGTGCTGTCTGGAATGATGTGAGGGGCACCACCCCCATCCCCACCCTATGTAAAAACAGTATTGTTCTCAGGGTGGCTGTGCTCCTTGTGAACACCCCAAGGAGGTCACTTGAAGAGGTTACGAGGCCAGTGATTCCTAGCTGGTTTCTGCTGAGGGAAAGAGACTGATATCTTGGAAGAATCAGAGCAGGAGCCTGGTGAGGAAAATCGGGGGCTTCCAGTGTTGACTTCCATACGGGGTTTGAACTGGTAGGAGCATGATTTAGCATGATAAAAAACAAATTCCAGCTCTGTCACTTTCTCAGTGAGACTAAAAAATGTCTTCCCTCTCTGAGCGTTGGGTTTGATGCCTGTAAATCATGGGTAGTAAATAACGTCCTTGTCCCATGCCCATAAAGGTTGAATTGGGGCCGGGCTCACTCCTGTAATCCCAGAACTTTGGGAGGCCATGGAGCATGGATCACTTAAGGCCAGAGTTCAAGACTAGCCTGACCTACACGGTGAAACTCTGCCTCTACTAAAAATACAAAAATTAGCTGGGTGTGGTAGCACACACCTGGAATCCCAGCTACTGAGGAGGCTGTAGGCACGAAAATCACCTGAAACCAGGAGGCTGAGGTTTCAATGAGCCAAGATCGTGCCACTGCACTCCAGCTTGTCTACAAACAAAAGAAAAAAAGAAAAAGAATGAATTAGGTAATGCGGCAAAGCATCTCAAGATTGTCACACAAGACTCGTCAGTTTCCTTGGCCTGCTGCCAATTTAATTGCAGTTTACTTGTAGAGGGAAAGAGGATGCCACAGCCAAGGGACTGAACCAGGTAACTCAAGACAATCACCCAGTGGAGGATGCGGGCTACAAGCCTGAGGGGTTAGGTGACTTTGGGCTTAAAACGGAGACGGGAAATTAGATACCAGCATCCATTTTTTCTGATTTACAAACACTTTCCTGCAGGAGACTCTTCCAAGGCACGTAGTATGTGAACATAATGCTTTAGGCAGTTCCTCCCTTCTAGAGAATCCAACCAAGACTACACAGGGTGTCTAGGGAGCAGAGGTTGTTCTGTGGCACAGGTGGCTCTGCAGAGGCGGATGCCATGCCGAGTCACATGGGAGGGTACGTTCCCAGCCAAGAGTTTGGAGCAAAGACCTGCTCAAGCTACATGAGGGGTGAGGTTCCCTCTCGAAGGCGCCCTCAAGCAGCCGCCTCACTGGAAGCACAAGAGGAGGCAGCCCTTCCCTGAAAACTGCAAGAGTTCAGCAGTGCCCACTGCCTGTGTTGACCTTCGCAGATGGGCAGTCATGGCGGGAGGAGAATGGTTTCTCCAAGGCCAGGACATGGAGCAGGAGGACACACGGATCCAATCACGAACCAGATTCAGGAAGCGGCAGGCCAGCACTGGGGCAGGCATAGGAAGCCAAAGCCACATCCAGCATCCCTGGCACTGCCTTACTCCTTTGTGAGAAAGTCCATCTGAGCAATATGAGAGCAGCTGGCACGATGGAGTGATCCTCATTTGATACAGGAGAGTTCTGGCCTGGCCACTTCCGGGCTATAGTTCTGCTTAGAGAAGACACTGTCCAACTCTTACCTCAAGACCATTCCTCACTCAACCCCCTCCACCCTCACCAGGCCACCCCTCACAAGATTCTCATTCTTGGGTCCACAGCTCCCAGGGACATCTCTCAGATCATGAAATTACCAGTTACTCCAACTTTTGGTCAAATCCACCCTAACCAGGAGGAACATTCCATCCAAGATGATCAGAGCACGTACTACATGCTGGACGCTGTTCTCTGCTCCATACAGAGGCCCTGACTTGGATAAATGTTCACAACGACCCTTTGGGATACATACTGTTCCATTTTACAGATAAGAAAACTGAGGCTTCTCAAGATAAAGTAACCTCCCATACTTGTGCAACCAGAAGTCATGCTCTGTGCCACTAGGCCATGCACACCTTCCCTTCTTTCCGGCTGTGGACCGGACCCCTGAATAGATACGTGACTCCGTCATCTATCAGTTGTGTGACATTAGACAAACCACTTCGTCTCTCTAAAACTTCACCTATTCCTCCACAACAGGGGATCATAACAACACCTGCCTGAATAAAAATGCCCACCCCAGGCCGGAGGCAGTGGCTCATGCCTGTAATCCAAGCACTTTGGAGGCCAAGGAGGGTGGATCACCTGAGGTCGGGAGTTCAAGACCAGCCTCACCAAAATGGTGAAACCCTGTCTTAAAAAAAAAAAAAAAAGAAAAGAAAGAAAATTACATTTTAGGCCAAGCGCGGTCGCTCACGCCTGTAATCCCAGCACTTTGGGAGGCTGAAGTGGGTGGATCACGAGGTCAAGAGATCGAGACCATCCTGGTCAACATGGTGAAACCCCGTCTCTACTAAAAATACAAAAAATCAGCTGGGCATGGTGGTGCGTGCCTGTAGTTCCAGCTACTCAGGAGGCTGAGGCAGGAGAATTGCCTGAACCCAGGAGGCGGAGTTTGCGGTGAGCCGAGATCGCGCCATTGCACTCCAGCCTGGGTAACAAGAGCGAAACTCTGTCTCAAAAAAAGAAAAAAAGAAAAAAAAAAAAAAAAAAGCCCACCACAGGGAAAAAGAAAGACAGACAGATACATACACACACACACACACACACACACACACACACACACACCAGACCCACCTGGCCTCTCTAAATAGGGAGTGGGTTAACCTTCAGAAGCAAAAGGCAGACAAGCTGGGCACGGCCACCCAGCATACAGATTATGTCTTGTTCCTTCTGAAAGAAGAGGCTTAAAAGAAGAAGAGAACGCAGGAGAGGGTCTGCTTGGATAACAGAGCACCCAGGTATGACATTAAAACCAAACAAAACTCGCCGATACTGTTTCTATCCCAATCCCATCTGGCCCCAGGAGCAGCTGCAGTGGAGAACGCCTAAGCAATGATAAAACTGTATCAATTCCACCCCAGCTCCAGGCTCTCCAGGAAACCGTTGACAAATCAAAGTTAAGAATTCAGCAGTTTCTCAACCCTTCCCCACAGCCCTGGAGGTAGACCTCTACCCCAAAGAACAAAGTCTTCATCCTGTTAGAAACCTATGAAGGGAACATGTGAAGAAATATCGCAGAGATAACGCAGCCTGCCACGAAGGAGTCAGTCTGGAATCTCCAGTCCAGAAAGTGGGAGAAACGTTCTCATTCACTCTTTCCAGACATAAGACCGTTCGGGAGTCCCTAGACAAAGGCTGGCCATCTCTTTCGCCTCCAACTTTGACAAACCTGTTTCAGTGATCACTGAGGCACTTTCAGAGCAACTTCCTCCCATCCAGAGAGAGCCCAGACCGTCCTGGGGATAAAGACACCCACCCAGAGGGAAGGCTTCAAGGAGCCCGACGTCTCAGCAGCCCCCACCCCAGTCACCACCATCAGATTGGTGGCTTGATGAAGATGAGGATGGCGCTGTCTTATTTATCACCTTTACCAAGACAGGTACCTACCTGGGGCAAAGTAAGTATTCAATACATCTTTATTAAATGCTGGAATGTACAGCATCTTCCCCTAAAAAACTGCATGTAGTCACCTCTACTCCATAAAATACCCAACCAGGGACTGAAGTTTCTTTGCCCCTTTGAAAATATGAAAGGCCCCTTTTCAGTCACCTTAGCAGATGGCCAACACTAGGGAAAAGGAGACCCATCGAAGGGCGGGGAAAAGGGCTGTGTTGTATGCTGTAGCTGAATTGGTGGCTCCAGTGCTGACTCGTGAGCAACCTGCAGCTCTGGAAGGGTCACAGCTAGCTGAGAGTTCACCGTGGGGCGGGAGCCCTGCTGAAGGCTTCACGTGCCCATCTCATTTGACCTTCTGGCTTTAGAGGCTCAAACAATAATTCTCATTTTATCGACCAAAAACCCAGCATGTAGAGAAACTGTTCAAACTTTTCTAAGGTTGCTCATCCGAAAAGCTATGGAGGCAATACCCTGCCCAGTTCTGCCCAGTGGCACCCAACAGGCAACAGGCCCTTTAAAAATATTCATGAAACTGGCTGGGTATGGTGGCTCATGCCTTAATCCCAGCCTGT